GGCTATTTCTTCACAGTCCCCTTTGTCTGCCAGTTCCACCACCTGGTTACATCCCTTCCCTGGTCATCTTTTTGCTTTTCCCCACTTGCCAGGCAATTACCATCCTGATGCTTCCAAGTCCAGATGGGCATCTCTGCCCTGCATTTCCCTGCATGCAAGCCCTGCTGATTGGCTGGCATCCCTCCGATGCCTCCCAGGCATCTCAAAAGCAACCTGTCTGGAATTGGACTCAGCGTCTCACCCTCTAAACCTGCCCCTCAGCATAGGACTCTGCCATTTATCTCATTGTTCAAACCAGAAACCCAGGAGTCTTTGTCTTCTTCACCACCTGTAAATAATAACTCACTGAGTTCTATGGCTTTTGTCTCCTGGGTGTCTGAATCTTTCCACTTCTCCCCAGTTGCACTGACACCGCTTGGTGTAAGCCTCCATCATTCTTTACCTGGACTCTTGCAACAGACTCCTAAATTGGTTCCCATCTGTCCATTTCATCCACTCATGGCAGCCAGAGGGATTGTTTAAAATTCAGATCAGCTGAGGCTGTTCCCCTGCTCAACATCTTTCAGTCACTTCACTTGGCATGAGGATGGGAATCCACAAGGCCCTCCATGGTCAGGCTGTCCCCCCATAGTCACCATTTCTGGGCTGGAGCCTGGGCCATCCTCCTCCCCACTTCTCTGCATTAACATTAACCTATTCTCCAAGTCTCCACTGGGGTTCCTCTTCTGTGACCTCAGACTGGTTAAATTCCTTCATCTTTCAGTTCCTCTTTCATGGCATTTATCACTTCTGCCATTGCTTGTTTAATGTCTTTCTCCCCCTGCGCATCCTCTCCCTCTACTCACCCCTCACTTCTGCAAATTGGGGAAGTTCATTTGGTGGTAAAACTGGACTTGTGCTGCCGTGAAGCTTCTTGTGGTCTTTATTTGGCCCACTTCATTTGCCTGGCACACTAATAGGTGCTCAGTACATGTTAATTAAAGTGAAAATTGAACTCAGATCTGGCTAGTCTCAGCTGGGTATTAGCAGAAAAACAATTAGATTGAATTAATTTAATCATCCAAAATATCCTTGTCTTTTTAAAAGAAGATGCTTGTTCAGGGAAAAAAATTCTAGCTGAATTTAATGGAAATGAACCAAGGGAAATCAAGAAATTTGAGCCAT